AGAGAAACTAATGTAGAATGCCTAGATAAGTACATAATACATTATATATTATATATGTATACATATATTAAATTGAGATAAGAAAATGTCTTAAAAGATTAAAAATAATTAAAATTTTTGTAAATCAGTTTTTATACATACATATGTATGTATTTAGGTATTTAGATTTTCTTAAAAATCGGTATGTACATACATTCACATTTAATTAAGCTTAAAATTGTACTACCTCACTCTAGTACTTCGCTTTTTTTCAGCAGACTACGATGCAGCATTCTACTTTGCATTCTCCGAAATGAAGCAAAGAAGCGAATAAAAAGAAAATATTGTAGGACGTTTTACTTTGCATTCCCTGAAATGAAGCAAAGAAGTTAAACCAATAAAATATTGTAGGACATTCTACTTTGCATTCTCCGAAATGAAGCAAAGAAGCGAATTAAAAAAGAAATATTATAGGACATTCTACTTTGCTTTCCCCGAAATGAAACAAAGAAGCGAAATAAATAAAATATTGTAGGACATTCTACTTTGCCTTACCGGCAATGCCTAAAACAAGCGAACAAATTCGAAGGCATTATAACGCTATGCCTTCTAGGACACGTTACCACTAAAAGCGATTACCGATGTTTTGTTGGGTAGTAGCAAAATTCAAAATGATATTGTATTTATTTATTTTTTATAAATTTTCATTTATTTAAGACTAGCAGAGCCGGCGAACTTCGTCCCGCCCAAAATTTTTATATATTTTATTGAAACTTTTTGGTCCAGCATTTTCACCAACAATTCACGTTTACAATTTTCATTGGCACATTTGTCTGCTAAGATTAAGGTTTGGTGGTAATTTTCCGCTTTAAATAACCTAAGGAAAGTGTTATATCCGTTCTTCAAATTCTCTAATTGTGCGGCATTTCATAGCACGGTTATTCGCAAAACGAAATAAATTTTTTCCTCTTCACTCCCTGGCGGCAACAATGACCTGGATGTATAGTGAATGTCCTAGAAGCTTTACAGTATAGTAGGTGGCAATTTCAAAATGGGTGCGAATCATTGTTCTACAGATATACTCAATGGTGCAACAGGTTGATTTAATCTGACCTTCACGGCCCCATTTCTCACTTGGCTATTTTTAGTAATAGCTCGACTTCAGCACCACTTGGCAGCACGTTTTTGCAATAGTATTGCATACATATTTAAAACATTAGCCAAATCGGATCATAAATAAGATTTGTAGTAATAACTCTACTACAGCGTCAACTGTCGGATTAAATTGTGAAACTAAACCATCCAGAGACCCACTAAAATACACAAAAAGTTTCGTTAAAATCCGTACAACCATTTAGGAGGATTTCACTTACAAATACACCTACAGAAGAATAAAAAAATTCATTCAAAGATAGCTAAAGGTCGGTACGTTTGTAGGCCTCACACCCCTTTTCAGATAGCCCAAATTTTCTCCATGAGTATGGGCTTGATTTCAACTATATACATATCTCCATACGAAGTTCCAGTACTGTACCATGAATACTTTCAGAGATATGCAGTATAAAAATTCGATTTATATGGGAGGTGCCACGCCCCCCTTTCCAACAGCTGCCCTCTTTCTTCATGAGTATGCGATTGATTTCGTATATCTCCATACCAATTTCCAAAACTCTACCATGCACACTTCCAGAGATATGTAGCATGAGAAATTCGGTTTGTATGGGAAGTGCCACGCCCCCTTTACATATAGATTTTTTTCAGCCTAAAACCATCCTTGGGACACGTGCGGCAGGTGGCAGTTTCAAAAAAATCAGTTCAGCCGCTCTCGAGCCTTGCGAAAACTAACAAACGGCTTTCTGAATAGATAATAGTTGAGATATATTATATATTATAATTATATTTTGACAGTATCCGTTGTTTCTGATTGGCACAACAAAATCTTGCCTAGTGACGAATTCGCCCCTTGATATGGTCGTTACTTAAAGCTATTTATATTCGAAATTGCATGAAAATTGGAAAACAGGAATCTATAAGCATATCCAGGCAAAAAGCTACCTACGTACCTAATTTTAAGCAAATCGTACCATAAATAGGATTACTTCGAACAGATCGGTCCCTGGTCCACTTCTCGGACAAAATGGATGATATATGCTAATATATGCTAAAAAGCTACCTACGTACCGAATTTTAAGCAAATCGGACCATAAATACGATTTTTTCGAATAGATCAGTCCCTGGTCCACTTCTCGGAAAAATGGACCATATATCCTAATATATGCTAAAAAAACTACTTACGTACCGAATTTTAAGCAAATCGGACCATAAATGCGATTTTTTGGAATAGATCGGTCCCTGGTCCACTTCTCGGAAAAAATTTATCATATATGCTAATATATGCTAAAAAGCTACTTACGTACTAAATTTTAAGCAAATCGGACCATAATAAGATTTTTTTCGAATAGACCGGTCCCTGGTCCACCTACCCGAAAAAAAAAGTAGCCTAAAACATGGTGGTTACCGAAAGCTATTTGTATACAAAATTTCATGAAAATCGGACCAGCCGTTCGCGAGATTACCTGTTACAAAAAAAAGGGACTTCTCTTTATATAATTAGTATAGATAAGAGCTCGATCTGTAACAGAAATCACATAAATAAAAGTTTCAAAGGTTTAAACTTAAAAAAATGTTCCTCAAAATAACAAACTGTTTATTCAGAATTTTTAGAACATTTTTGAGTATGATTTTTATAATGCTTGTGTCAAGGGCCTTGAGCATTTTCGCCCACATATGAACAAAATTTAATTTTATATGGAAAAAATGTGCGGTAACTTTTATTGACTTGAAACCTGCACTTTATCGAACTGAAATTGAATGGGCTATAAACTGTATTTCACCAGATTCATTTAAGTGAAAATTATTTAAATTTTCGAATTTTTCGTTTTAACAATCAATTTTAATTTGTTTTTAATTTTGATCAATATACACACACCACAATATTGTGTATCAGGTGTTTATTTGTATACCATCCCTGCTTTTACCTCCACTTTTAGCACGATGCTGCTATATTTTCATTCACTAAAATAAAGAGCTTATTGAAAGTGAAGAAATTTTAATTGAGAATTAAATAAAAATTTAGATTAAAATTAATTTCCACTTAACTAAGTTTGGTGAAATGCAGCCTACAGATTCTAAATAAAAAGTTTGAAATTTTTATTTAATTTTTTTTAAGATTGATTAATTTTTTTGAACTTTGTGCAATCTTTAAAATCTTTATTTATGGGATTTCTGTTATGGATCGAACTATATTTTAAATGCAAATAAAAAATAAATAAATAAATAACCATAAGTTGCGAAAAATATGATTTTGAAGTTTGTTATTATATTAATGCGCGCAGCTGTGTGTACAGTGACGAACAAAAGTATTGGCACAGTGAATTTTTCGCAAAATATGCAAAGTTTTTTGTTCTAATATATTTTCGATAATTTTCTATAAAAATATAGTTCTTACCACACCAAAAAAACATAAAACTAATTTGTAGCTTTCGATTCAGATTCTTTAAAAAACTCTAACTATGCAGTTTTATAGCTTATTAAATTTTACTAGCAAGGTTCAAGTTTGATGTTGTTGAAAAATGGTGCTAATTTTTAGCAATTTTTTTCACGCAGATTATTCCATACAAAGTATGTTCAAGATTCCTTTTTTGTATGGAGAAAATAAGCAACACCTTCCACTTGAAAACTTGCCAAAAAACAACGCGGTTCTCTAGCTATTTGAAATTGAGTGAGCTAAAAAACTGCAGAAATGTGAATCGAAAATTGCAAATTAGTATGGAAATTTACAGGATTTCCCTGAAATTTTCACAAAGTTTAGAGAATTCATTTTTATGCCTTTTGGTGTGGTATGGACTATATTTCTATAAAAAAATTATCGAAAATAAGTTAGAATTAAAAACTTTTTATATTGCAAAAAATTCACTGTGCCAAACTTTTGTTCGTCACTGTATATGCGTTTGTGGTTAAGGTAATCTAGCCTCCAAAGTCCTTTCACATTTTAACTAAAGGTCTTGTAGTATTTCCACGTAAAATACTTGCAACAATTTTGCCGCAGGCAATCTTAAACGCACAAGTAAACACCGAGAGGTTGCGATTTTAATTTGAGTTTAATGACTACAATTTTTCTTTGTAAATATGCTGAAAGCATACTTTTTTTTCGAAATTAACACAAAATAACCTGTGCAGCAAACATCACTTAGGATACATGTCAGCCATTTTAGAATACTTAGGGCTAATTTCAGATGGCCTATTTAAGTAGAGATTGTTGATTAACTTCAAAAATTCATTTTCAGATCATACATTGAAGCTGCACTTAAGTGGCCAATATTGGCTATTTAAATACGAGATAGGCAACCCTGTGTTTGTACCAAACCACCAAGGATGTAAGCAAACAAATGCAACCACACGTTCATGGAACAAGCAACAGTGTTGCCACTTGTTTGGCATATTTAAATAAACTTGATCTGAAACCCAACGAAAGCTAAATGGCATTTAAACAACAATCCAAAATTAAACCTAAGTGGCATTCAAATATTCATCTGAAATTGGCCCTTAGTTACATAGACAAAAGTTCCCTTCGTCTACTCCCACAGCGTTGCGCTAAATTGGTTCCATTGCTAACTTTGTAGCATTTAAATATGTAATTGAAAGTCATTGTTTTCACGGACTTCATGCGAATGTGTGGGCCCATTTGTATGTAAGTACGTGCCTCTGAACCTTGGCATACTTACGAGCGCTTCTGCTAACGCACTTTTCTTTCATCATTTCCCCCCCGTCGAGTGCGTGTGTGAGCGCAAACTCAATTGTTTTCAAATTCGCTTAAATATTTCATAGCCTATTTAGGTGCGCGCATTAAGGGCGCACACATTGCCTCATACATTGTCTGTCTTTATTTTATATAACCTAGCATAAACACACACACACACACACAAACACACATGCATATCAAAGCATGCCAGCTCTCTGACCTTTCATTGTAGTCACTGATTTCGCCCGTATCCATGTCCAGCAACAGAATGGCACTCTGAAAGCTTGCGCATACCGTGCGATAGAATGTATTGCGCCGCAGCTCTTCGCTTGTCATCAATTGTTGTTGTTGCTGTTGCAGTTGTTGCTGCAATTGTTGGTGGTGCGTGCCGGCGGATGTTAGTGTGGTCGCAGCTGCCGTTGCCGAAGTGGATGAAGATGATGCTGACGATGCAACAGAGGGTGTTGGTGTTGTGGCCGAGGTGGCTGCTGGTAAAAAGATGGCGCTCGAGCTGGCGCTTGTACCAGCAGCAAGTGGCAGAATGGGCGTTGTAGCTAAGGGCGTGGCTGTGGGCGGTGTTACCGAGGGTGATGTCGAAGCGGAGTGCGTTGCGGAGGGGTGCAGCCAGTGACGCGCATTGATTTTGGCCATCATGCCGCCAACGCCGCCGACGCCGCCGCCGCCACCACTGGCGCTGGATGTGTTGGCAGCACTTGCAGTGGATTCACTTTTGCTGCCACTCGCTACTGCTGTGTCTGCAGTGCCTGTCGCTGCGTGATGCGTGTGATGCATTGCCCATTTATCCGTTAGCAAACGTGTCAGCCGCCTGATTCTGTGTGTGGAATTTAATATTCAAACGAAATGAAATATTTCAGTCAGTCATTTGAATTTGCATTTACTGATACGCTTTTGTGTCTCACTGTGCGTAAATATATTATTGTGTGTATTTATGCATGTGAGAGGCTTAATACGCTGGTATGCTCATGCGCGCCATTCATTTATTTGAAAGCCTTTTTTAACATTCCATGCCTTTGATTTACATACATACATATCGTATTATAAATTTTTAATCTTTTGTGAATTTGTAAACGCATACTTTGTTTCGTTTTTTTTTTAAGAATTTTCAATAGCACATATTTTTTTTGCATGCCATAATTGTTATTTACAAAAATAGTTTAAATTTAAATATTCGATAGTACATTGCATTTTGTTCATACAGCGTAGTTTTCGTCAATAAACCTAAAATTTTATTAAATTCCATCATTGCCATGCCAAAATATTAGAAAATTTTTTTATACAAAAAGTAAAAATTATTTCTCCACACAAATTTAAGTGACCTAACCGCTCATTCATTTAAGTCTTATTTCGTGGATAAGAAATTTCTTCAGCAAATCTTAACACATAACTCGCACGCTACATACATGTGGTCAGTGGGGGATTTTCCCTTAAATCCGATAGGCCCGGGCCTAGAGCGGCCAGATATTAGGGGCGGCCAATATCGCAAAACAATTCGCTGATGATAACAGGACATGCACGAGACAAAGTAAATACGTGTTAACTCAATATAGTTTTACTTACACCTTAAAAGCTATATGGTTATAAAACACCCAGGTCTAAGAAACTTTATAATAAATTTTATTTTATTACTAACCTGACGAAATTAAGCAAAAAAAAAATGTGCGGACTTTAATATCAAGTGAAACTACTAGAATTAGAACATCGCGATCTTAACTGACAACCAAGTAGCTATCAAGGACGTTAGATCTCATCAGGTAACATCTAAACTGGTGATGGATTACCTAGATAAGCTGAATACTCTTGATGTGACCAATCGGGTGAGGGTTCTCTGGATTGCGGAAAAATTAAGGAAACGAGATTGCTGATAAACTTGCGAAGAAAGGAGCATAAACGCCTTCCCTCGGCCCAGAGCCCTTCTGAGGCATTGCAAAACGGGGTACTCTTTGCCCTGAACCGGTAAAAGGAAGAGGCTTGAAGAAATCGGAACTGGCATAATCGACCATGTCTAGAGCAATCCATCAAGCTTCAAGGAATGTATGAATAACCTGATAGTTATTACAGGAATTTCGATAGGACATTGCAGGCTGAACTATCATCTGACTAAAATGGGTATTTACACGCAGGAGCGATACAGGTTTTGCAGGATATCGCGACTGCACAGCATATTAAACATTAAGTAATTGAAACCGAAGCGAAATCCGTAGATATACGCTCCATACTAAAGTTTCTCTCAGATACTGGGTTAATAGACACACTTTAAATCCATGAAGGTAGCACAATAGCAAGATTTGAAATATTAATAATCGCAGTTAATATAACGATTTAATTAAAACTTGTTTGTATATTAGGGTGTTGCATGTGCATGGGTTTCAAAAATGCTTACAACATATTTTTTGACCTTACATATTATGGATATTCATCTAAATGCTTAAATCGCAGGTAACTGCGTAAACCTTGCTAATAAACTGAGTTTCCATTGAAAATTAAATAAGTTTATGAAGTTTACGTGGTTACGAGCCATTTATGCGTTTAGATGATTTGAACTAATATTAAGCTCACTCTAGAAACCCTAGCATATGAGCAAATCGAAGTACAATAAAGAATAAATCAAGTATTTGAACAATTTTAGCCTTAAGACGTTTATTTAGGCGAAGAAGTACCGAAATTACTAATTTCTTCGTTGTCACTTAAAAAATCATAATTGGAATTTTTTTTAAAGTAACTTTGGAAAGTTTTCAAATATAATGTTCATATTAGAGGAACTGAAAGTTGGCATCAAATACAGCATGTCTGTGAAATTTGAAGCATGTGCCAACAAATTTAAAAAAATTGCAGCAAGCAGAATATCTGTCTCAGCTATTTTGTAATTTTTGAAATTTAAAGACTTTTGCATTTTAAAAGTTTAAGATAATTCAAAATGTCAACATTAAACGGTGAAAATGTTCTTGCCAAACGAATTAATGTTGATATAAGATGCCGATGATTTGCGAAACGAAAATGCTAATTTTACTACACTGCCTGAACAAAGTATTGTCACAGCAAGATTTTTCACAATATATGCAACAATTTTTATTATAATATTTTTCCGGCAATTTTTTATAAAAATATGGTTCGTTGTACAAAATAAAAATATAATTCCTAAGCTTTCAGCGAATTTTCATGAATATTTTCAACATTTTAATCTGATTTTTTGAGTATGCAGTTTTGCAGCCCATTAAATTCTAGTAAAAAATTGCAACTTCGGCGTTAGTCAAAAATCGCATTGACTTTTGAGATGTTTTTTGCTGAAGGTGTTTTGCATTTTTTCCATATAAAGTATTTTCGAAAAAATTGTTTGTATGGCAGAGACTGCGTGAAACAAATTGCCAAAAATTAACGGTAATTCCTAGCTACTTAAAACATGTACTTTATTGCAACAAAATGGATTGCGCTACAAATCTGCATACTCAAAAAAATCTGATTAAAAAGTTGAAAATTTGCATTAAAATTCGCTGAATTTTCGCGAGTTTTCCACAAAGTTTAGGAAATATGCTTTTTTGTTTTTTTCTTGTAGAATGAATCATATTTTTAAACAAAATTGGTGGAAAAATATTAGAATAAAAATTGTTGCTTATATTTTGAAAAATTTGCTGTGCCAATACTTTGTTCCGGCAGTGTATACTATTGGCACACTTTAAATTCATTCTGAAATACACTTAGAAAGTAATATATGTATATGTGCATAAGGAATACCACGCCAATATTGAATTACTTTTAAATAATATGACTTTTAAGTTAAGGCGCGCGACTAAACATGTTAGCTGACTGTGTATGGTGCTACGGGGCGTATACGTTACATACACAACTACGGGTATATGAGCGCGAGTTGTTATTTTAACTTTTTAGTATATATGTATGTCTTTTATAAGTTTTCATTTAAAAACAATTTCAAATTGGAATCTTATATTTTATGCAAGACTGAAGATAATGCATTGTCTAAGATAAGTGTGCCACCATTTTTTTTACCAAATACTCGTTTTTGTCGAAAAATTTATAATTTTGGTAAAAAATATTACAAATAGTTCAAGTATACTTGCTTTTTGAATACTTACAAACTTTGCTCATTTTGTTTGTTGCAAACTTATATATATACAACCTTTGATTAATTTATGGTTACCATTTCACTGCAGATTCATGCAATTATAGTCACACCTTAATTATAAATATTTTTTCCATTTCAAATGATAGCAATAATACATATCTACTTGTCGTAGAAATATTTTCTATTTCATTTATTGTCTTGTGGTAAGCCAGCTCAAATGCACTCGGAATAGAATAAATTACCACAAAGTGTTCGTACCTATCATGGGCTAAGCCAAAATGGCATGCTATTATATTTACAAGTATATGAGATGGCAACAAAAGCAAGATTGGAATACTACCTAAAAATATGCAGCATTTATTTAATTGCTGCAGGCACTTCAATATGCAGACATCAACAATAACAGTGAATTTGTAATTATTATGTCATTCAAGAGAAGTTATATTCTGTGAAATAATAAGCAGGCTGAGGTGTTGTAAATGATTGCGTTATAGGTATGAACAAATTCAGTTATTTATTCATGTAAACATATATATATACTCGTATACTTACATATATATATTCTTAAAATATGCATATGTAGCAGTCGAAGATGTATACAAAAACTTGCATGCTTTGGTTTATAGAGTCCTTTAGATGTAGGGAAAGATAATCAATTTTGAGAATGCCGAATTTTTGGCGCCGTTGTAGTACTTCTGTTTCAGGATACCTATACGGTTATCTCAAATGAAAATAGGATAGTAGTCTACACTGGAGAAATTTGGCAGTACTAATTCCTAAAGGGATGGCCAGATATGGACTCGGTGTTGGGTGTTTCCATCGCAAGGTCCACCACGACAAAAAAATTAAAAATCTTATATCTAACGTGTTTACGGGCCGATTTGTCTGCTTTTTAAATATATACTGGTTATGTAAGTAGAATCATGTTTGCGTAAAATGGTCTTCCTAGGTGGTGCCAAGGTCGAGATATTTGGAAAAACCGTATTAATGGTCCGATTTGGTTCGAATTTGACGTATGTAGTTGAAACATAATAAGTCATAGATTTCCAACAAATTCACCCTGAATTGGCGCTGAAGTCAAAGTATAAAGTATATTCTACATAAAATACATGTTTTATTTGCGTTACAAATTCATTTAAAAGCAATATTAACGAAAATATAACGATGGAAATTACACTTGGGGTTGTAAAAGAAAATTGAGACAAGTTGCATTAATTCAAAAAACTCTAAAAACAACTAGAATTGCTCCAAATCATATTAAAATAAGTTTCATGAAAATAGCCATCCACAATTCTGATAGTTTTGCGATTTTGTAAGAAAAGAAAAAATCTACTTCCATTTTTTGTCACGTAACGACACGTCTCTTTAAATGCTTATATTTCAGGACCAAGCAGTTCGATTGTTTTCATTTGTCGGTTAAATATAGAGCTAATTATGTGCTATACAATGGCCTAAAAAAGTTAAAGGAAACAAATGGTATTCCTTCTTTGTATCACATTGAAACGTACGACTGTCACGTATGCGACGTATGGAAATACCCATATATATATTAGGGCAGGTCAATTTTTTTTTTGGCTATGCGCGTATAGCTTAGGAGAATTCTACGTGTAATTCTAAGCAAATTTACCGAAGAAATCATGGGTCTAAAATCAATTTGGAGTTTGCCAAATTGCGAAAATAGGTTTCGAAGAAA